CACACACACACACACACACACACACACACACAGCCGCTCTGAGCAAGGTGGCACAATGCTGGCCTGTGGAACTCACGGCCACAAAGAGGGGCCAGTGGCTCAGATGGGTTAAAAAGGGACTGAAAATTACTGGAGCGGGGGGCGGGGCCGCGACTGAGGATTTGGAGGAAGGGGAGAGCCCTCCAGTGCCCAGGGGAGGGGGCAAATGGGAGGAGGAGCCCTATGCCAAGCCAAGGGGGGGGGGGAGAACAGGACAGACTCCTACTTCATGGTCCAGAATTGGGTTTGCCATTCAGAGGCCCTTCACGGCCTGTGGGTGTTTCCTGTGGGGCAGAATCTCTGGGGCAGAGCCAGGCACAGGCATCCAGACCCGAAGGTGCAGAGTTCAAGGCAAGGTACTTCATTGCTTTCCGCCTGTCCCGCAGGAATCTCCCCAGTCTGCCAGCCTGGGAACAGAGGGAGAAAGCCCCATGCAGTTTAAAGGGGGAGGGTTGAGTTCTGGACCCCCCCCCCCTGGCCTCTCTGCAAGGACCCCAGGCTGATTCTGTGCCTGAGGAGTTGCCCCCTACCTGGCTGGGGGGGGTTTCCCCAAAAGGAGCCTCTCTTGACAATGTGAGATGCACCCTTCGCTCCCCAAGCCCCCCCCCCCGGGAGGCCACCTCTGGACCCTGCCCACCTGTCCAACTCTCAGCCCTTCCCCCCCATGCCCTCCCCCTCTTTCTGTTACAGAAACAAAAAGAGCAACTCTTTCTGTGGGGGGGGTCTCCTGGGGGACTGGACCCCTGGGGTTGGGAGGGGGGAACAGTTCTGGGTATTGCTGTCAGAGCAGGAAACTTGGGAGAACCTTGCAGTTGCCTGTGGCTGGGCTCACTTCCTTGAGCCGGGTACACCCTGGGGATGTGGGGGGGGCGGGAGGCTCTGTTCTGTAAAGAGGCCCCCCCTTTGGTGGACTTTTAATGTGGATCTGAAGCTGCACCACCTCCTAGGGCTGGGCCCTCCTTCAGCACCCCCTGGGGCAGAAAAGATGGGGGGGGGCATCAGTCAAGGAAGTAACACCCACCTTGCCCTGAATTGGGGGAGGCAGAAGGCCGCCCTCATCCCCCCACTTGGGGGTCCCAAGGGTCTGCAGAGGAAGGGGGCAATCTGGGTCTGGTGCTTCCTTTGGGGNGGGGGTCGCTCCAGGCTGGGTCCCTTTAAGGGCTCGTGGACTTCCTGCGTGCGTGGCTGGCTGGGGGGATTCTGGGAGTTGGAGTCCACAAGTCTTAAAGTTGCAAAGTTTGGGGAGGGTTGTAGCTTAGCTCCCCGGCAGGAGTGGAGATGGCGTTGCCCCCCCTCTCTCCCACACCAGACGGGGACATGAGGGGCAGGATTGCTTCTCCTCTGGAAGAGTCTGGAAGGGCCCAGAGCAGAGACGGGATTCAGCAGGTTCTGAGCAGTTCTGGAGAAACGGTAGCGGAAAGTTTTAGTAGTTAGGAGAACCGGGAAATACCACCTCTGGCTGCCCCCTCTCCCCCCTCTTCTCTGCCCCCCCAGTCCCAGTTGATGGGGAGGGGAGGGGGATTTTGCAGGACCCTTCCCCTGCCACTCCCATCAAGCCACGCCCACAGAACTGGTGGTAAATGTTTTTTGAATCTCACCACTGGCAGAGAGACCTGACTCCCCAGGTGGGGAAGCCACAGAGGGGAGGCTGGAGGGAGAATTGGGGACTGAGGGGGTGGGTGGGGGGTGTCGCCTGATGCTACTCTGCAGGGAGAGCTGGGACTAGGGAGGGGCTGCTCTCCCCACCGGCCCCACCTCAGCCTGACCCCCCCCCCCACATAACACTGAGGGCCAGGGAGACTGGTTGGTTTGGCTTAACCATAAAGATTTCTCTGGATGCAGAGAATGACGGTTTGTGCAGGAAACCATGGTTTAAGCAGCCGCATTGTGCGACGCCAGGGCCTTCATCTCCTTCTGCTGGGCCAGGAAACACCAGATCCTCTCTGTATGTGTGTGTGTGTGTGTGTGTGTGCTTGTGCGCAGGGATTCCGGCTGAGATGGAAGTGGGGCCGTTCTCCTGCTTCCAGTGGCCTCCTTTCCTGCCCCGGGGAAGGGAGGACCCAGCTGGGATTCCCCCTCCCACCACCTGCTAGCATCTTTTGAGAAAGTTGGGGGTGTTGCACCTGTAGCCTCCCCTGCGCCTCCTGGGGAACACAGGGGCNCTGCGATGTCGCCAGAGGCTGCCCGGCTCTCACGGAAGAGATTTTTCTCCGCCTCTTGAGGTGGGGGGGAAAGCACGGATGTTGAAACTTTGGGGGACCCCCCCCCCTCCGAGCACCTCATGGACTGTGGCCGCAGGCGGTTGGAAGTGGGCCACGGGTTCCCCAGCCCAGGCGAGTGACCGGCATTCCCGGCACCTGCCAGCCGGGGGTCCTCGGACATCCGTCGGCCGCCTCTGCGCAACAGACTACCTTTCAATAGTTTGGAATCCTAGTTAGGTTTCTCTGTGGCTTTTGCTCAAACCTGGTTAATAAAACACAGCTGTTGTGTTTGCATTACGTACCACGCAAATAAACCATGTATTGTGGTTTTAAGGGAGCAGTCTGGTTTCTCACTGGGTGCAAAGCCCCGAACCCCCCCCTCCAAAAAAATCCCGTCTCATTTTCCCTCACGCCCTTCCCCCCCACGTCCGGAAAAGTTCCTGAGTTACTCCCCGCAGTTCTTTCCTCGGCCGCTGGGGGGCAGCCGCACCCTCTCACCTGCGCCTCCTTAGGGGAAACTCCTTCACCCCGTCGCTTGCCCCTCCCCTCGCTATGTTGGAATTGGGTCGGGGGTCTCCTGTGGCCCAAAGCATCCCACAAGCCACTTCTGCCTTCTCATTGGGGGAGGGGGGCTCAAGGGATTCGGGGCGCCCTGCCAACCCACCCCCGCCAGGACGCAGGTTCGGTTCCTTTGTCCCCCCCCCCTTCAGGAAATTCCCCGATTGCCGTCGGCTGGAAAGGACAGCCCGGGTTCTCACCGCCCCCCCCCCCGTGGCCTCGGCTGACCCCCGTTGCCGGCGGGCTGCGCTCGTCTCCCCCGAGGCTTCCGACTGGCTCCTCCTGCCTTCTGCGGCTCCTTTTCGGCTCTGAGCCGCACAGAAGGGCCTTGTGCGTCTCCCCCGACGGGGACTCAGCCGGGTGGAGCCTGCGATGGGCTGAGCTCCGGACCTCCTGGGTACGTGCAAAGGGCGGGCGGCTGAGGGGCCCATGCAGCGCTCCCCCCCTCCCGACTGCTGCTGGGGTCCCCGGAGCGCTTCTCCGCCCGGCCTTGCCCAGGGCCCCGTGGCTGGCAGGGCGGGGAGAGGCTCTGCGGCCGGAGCCGCCACACCCGCAGCCCAGAATAGCCGGCCGCGCATTCCTCGCCGTCCAGCCGGGCTCCACCCAGGGCGCCAGCAAGAGGGGGGTGGGTGGGCTTCGTGAGAAGCAGAGGAAGGGTCGGCTCTGGGCTTTCCCCATTGCCCAGCGTCCCCCCCCCCCATGGCTTTCCCCCTCCCAGGGCATCGCCCAGGGCTCCCCACGCGAGCCGGGGAAGCGAGGACGCTCTGCTTGTGCTCAGAGGCCCCTGGTGCTTGGAAGTGCGACCCTGTAGGACGGAGGCTGACCCGAGGACGGGCTCGGAGTCCCCCCCGTCTCCCGTGGGGCTTGTGCCCTGCCGCCTCCCCCCCCCCAGCTCCCTCCCTGCCTCCTCCAGCGAAGCCCAAGACGACCCCACCCGCCCTGGGCTCCTTGCCTCGCCTGCCTCTGGAAAGGGGACGGGGGTCTCTGGGGCTCATTTGCTGGGCAAGCCCCTTCCCTTGACAGGTGGTGGGTGAAGCCACGATGGGACCCTCCCCTTTACAGGGCAGGCCGAGGGGGGCTGCGGGGTTTTACCAAAGAGCTGAGAAATGGGGGAGCTGGGCATTGGGGGGCCTCCTCCCATCTGGTGAGCCCCCCTTAAGGTAGCAGCCCCCGCTCTGCCTCAGCCAGTCTGGGCAGAGGGGGGGCCCAGAGGATGAAGGGCCGGCCGGATCTTAGGAAGAAGGCTGCAATTAGGCTGGGTGGAGTCGGACGGCCGCAGCACCCCGCCCGCTCCAAGGCTGGTCCCCAGAGCGAGGGGTGCCCCCCCCCTCCGTCCCGCCTGCAGCTCTGCCACCAGAGACCCACAGGACGCCCCCCCTCCCCTCCACCTGCCTTTTGCTGGCTTCTCCTGACTTCCTCATCGCTGGAGCTGCTGCCCCCCCCGCCCGTGCTCTCCGTGAGGCCGCCGGCCTGGCTGGGGAGATGCAGAGGGACCGGCCAGGCTGCGCGTCGAGGAGGCCCGGGCTCCTTTCGCTGAAGAGGGGGGGGGGCATCGGAAGTCTCGCCCGGGCCTTTTCTGCCGCTGCATCACAGCCGGGGGCTCCCGTTGCTTCGTCCGCAGCTGCCTTGGTTTCCTTTCACAAAACACAAAAGAGTTTGTGGTCCCTTTTGCGGTTGCTGTGTGTCCAATATATGCCCCCCCCCTGCCCCCAAACACCTGCCTCTGCTTCCCACGGGGCTCAAACGTCTCGTCTGAATCCAGCCTCCCGGTGTCAATCCCCGAGCCTCTTTGCGGGAGGCTGCTCCGAGGCTCAGCTCGGGGGCGGGGGTCGCTCCAGGCTGGGTCCCTTTAAGGG